AAAGGTCTCTTCATGCCTTTAATTTCCCATGAAATCTAATTCAAGACGTTGTTTGTCTGCAGCCTGCTCCCGGTGTTGGGCAGAGCGGGGCTGCGTGCGATCCAGCGGAGGAAAACCTGGTTCTTGGAACTGGCCTTTCTCAAAAAAAAAACCAACCCCAAAGCGACATCCTGGCTCTTTTCAAGTGATGGCCACGCACGTTTTCGGCGACACCCTAAGCCTCCCAGTCCTGGATCTCACAGAGCCGCACGGCACGCTAACGGGATGCTGTTAATTAAAGCATCGTGGCTGGTCCTCTTGGGTGCTGTTGCAGAGGAATCCTGCCCTACCCCAGCATTTACAAATTTGTTCTTTGAAAGCAAGAACCTGCCACAATATTGTGTGTGTCAGGGAGACACCTACCGAGGTCGGGGCTGTCTGGAGCACAGTGGCGAATAAAGCTGCTCTGGGCGCTTTCTGGTGCTTGGAGGCTTTGGTGGTGGCCACCAAGAAGCTGGTTTGCAGGCTCTTCTTGCTGCTTGAGGCTCTCAACAAGCTGGGACCCCTTGGGGTGATGATTTTGGGAGCCACCACGCTGCTGGGATACTCTGAGCTGTGGATTTAAGCTGTCGCTTCCAGTCCAGAAGATGATCCTCAGCTGGGTGGAAGAAGCTGTGCTTCTGCTGGAGGTACTGTCCCCAGACGTCATCCAGAGCTTTTACAGGGCCATGGGAGCCGGTGTTTGCCCCCAGGGTGTCCCTGGTGCTCATCCAAGGGCTTGAGGCTCTGCTCCTGCTGGAGGTGCCATCCCCAGACGTCATCCGGAGCCTTCACAAGGTCATGGGAGCCAGCATTTGCCCTAAGGTGTCCCTGGTGCTCACCCAAGGGCTCGAGGCTCTGCTCCTGTCTGCTCCCATAGCTGGGGGCATCGCCAGGTTGGACTATGGTGGTGGTTCTGCTCAGCTCCGATACGGAAGTAGGAATCCCCGAGTCCAGGTGTCACCTGCTGGGGTTACAGGTGCCAGCATCGTCCCGTGGCAGGCACTCGCCTCGCACACTGTCTGGTGACCAGCGATGCCGTCTTCCTCAAGGACCAGACACCAGGATGGGCCCTTGGCCCCCTCTACCCGTGGGCGGACGTCTGCTCCTGCTCCAGCTTGCTAAAAAGGCTTCCCCGGTGGCTCTGTGCACCATCTCGGCCTGGGAAGGAAAAGAGAAAGGTCACAACGGTGCCGTTCGTTCCATGGAATGAGAAAGGCGCCCACCAAAGGCAGAGCTGGAGGGCCAGCGTCTGGCTGGGCTTAAGCCACCACCAGGGCTCAGCCCATCCCTGCGGGCGATGGTTTGGGTGCTGCCCACCACCACCACGGGCTGGAGCCCCACCAGCCACCCCCAGCCCCACAGTGCAGGGAGAGAGGAGCCGGGCTGGGTCCCGAGGCACGGAAATCGGCCATGAGGTTCAGAACGGGGGATGAAACGGGACCATAACCCTCGGGAATCACCTTGGTCGGGCGCAGCTCGGAATTAAATCTGCAACAGGAAAAGCATTGCGGCGTTCAGCGGGAAAACTTTAAGAGAGGATTTTTTTTTTTTCCTGTTAAAAACAACAGCGAGACGGCAGAGTCCGGACGAGCGCAAGCGCTGAACCGGCTGAGAACTTAAGATGGGTTGAAAATCCACCGGGTGGCCCTGGGTTGCACTTTTGTGCGGGTCCTTTCTCATCCTCATCTTGGCCTTTTAGTCCTGGTTGGGAAGGAGCCGGCACAGGGCGCCCGGCAGCTCCCGGCCGTGAGCCACGCACGGCGCCTCCCGCG